CAGCAAGTGCGGCTATTAGCGGCTGATGATCGCCACGATGGTGATGCACAAATGGAAAAATACAATAACATAAAAACACTCACTGGGCAGTGTGTGGCGAATGTAGTCACCCGAACAGAGACCGTGGAACATAGAACGACTCAATGCCCCGATTCATGAATACGAAGGAGGAAGCATAATCATCAATCATCGCTGCAGCGATGATTCACCACTCCGCTACTCCTCCTGACGCAATCACCTGGCGCATCAACCACCTCGATGCAAATCCACAGCTGTTGCTCGACATCAAAATCAGCCGTGCAAAGCAGAAGCACCAGCAGCTGCAGCAGCAGAAGCAGCAGCTGCAGTAGAAGAAGCAGTAAAAGCAGCAACTGCAGCAGCAGAAGCAGCAGCTGCAGAAGCAGCAGAAGCAGCAGCTGCAGCAGCTGCAGCAGCAGAAGCAGCATCTGCAGCAGCTGCAGCAGAAACCGCAGCTGCAGAAGCAGAAGCAGCAGCTGCAGAAGCAGCAGCAGCTGCAACAGAAGCAGCAGAATCCGCAGCTGCAGTAGCAGCAGCGATTGCGCGACCTCTCTCCGAGCGAGGCGTCCACAGGTCTCGAGGTTTCACAACCCCGAGCCCCGTATTTACCAAGGTGGAGGTAACAAAGGTGAGCGCACTCGCCCCCCACCCTCCCCCCACCACCATCATCACTCGTTATTTGTGTTTCAACTTCTCTTTTGCCAACTTGCCCCGACCCCCTTCCGATCGCAATATTTCATCCCGGCTCCTTTTGTTTGTCGCGAGCATTTTTCTCTTTGCGATGTAGTGGGGACTCCCACCCCTCGCCCAAAATGTCTTTGTGAGGTCGCCCACTCGTCAAACACCGTCCCCCCCCCCTCGCTCCTTCCCCCCCCTCTCCTTCTGCCCAACTCCACCGTCTTGCGCAACACAAAGCCAGCAGCAGCAGCAGCAGCTCGCGTTCTCACATCAACCCAACCGTTCAGCCACGCATCACTTTCACTCCACACCATCTTCATCATCCTCTTCATCAGCCACGGTACAAGAAGAATTGCAGAGAATCCTGCTAATTTCATTATCTGTCCTTCCGCTTATCAATATGCAACTATTGCTTTGCACATCCCGTCAGCCACACGGCCTTTATGAGGAGTGCATGATTTCAGCAGCATTTGTTCAACACAAGCAAACTCTGGACCGGTTTCAACGTGCAGTGTCTCATCGGCAGAGCCAGGGGGTTTGCTTGAAGCCGTAGCTCTGACTGAGACCAAACAGCCGACCACGTGTGGTGCCTGCCTGCAAGGCGTTTCTGCAACTTCGTTCCTTCAAAGCCAAGATTTGGAAATCGTGGGAGGGAGCGCGGGGAGAGAAACCGGCAAAGAGGGGAGGGGCCAACCAGCCCCCTACCCCGAACTAACCGCGGCCCAAATCTTAAGGGAGAGAGAGGAGGCGTCCTCGCATGTAAACATTTGGGCAAGTTCTCCAACGTCTGTCCAAGCAAGCGACTTTGATGATGAGACACTGAATGTCGATGCGGCTCAAGTGTCCTTGTGTTGAGCCAATGCTGCAGGATTGGTACACTCCCAGAAGTCCGTGCGGCCGATGGAAGGAGGGGGCCGATTGTCTGCTAAGTGATTTTGTACACTCTCGGGGTGGAGCGGTGGCGCAGTGCTTAGCACAAAGCGTTGTGAACACGGCTGGCTGACATCAGTGGCTATGTTTTGATATCACTCGTCTAGGTGCGGTGTCTAAAACATCGGCCACTCCACCCCCTCGTGTGCCGTCCCGGCCTTAATAGGCGGGACTCGCAAACAGCACGTGCCCCAGCGGTCGGGTGGAGGCTATACGGGGATCTTTGTCTTGCGCGTGGGTGAGAGCGGATGCGGGGGGGTGGAGGTGCGGATGGATGTTGTTATTTATTGATGGAAGAGCGCGCAAGAACATCCGTGTTATGACAGAAGTTAAACTACATACGATTAAAAACAAAAAAAGTTTCATACCAGGTAAGGCTCACTGAGCTGTACAGCTCTTTTTCAGAAGCGACCTGCCCACAAATGACAGCTCAACAAAAGTGGCTTATCATGTGGCCATTTATAGCAGCCATATACTCTCAACGCGTGATGTTGATTCTAAATGTGGAGAGGAAAACCGGAGGAGAAAAATCCACACGACCACGTGGAAAACACGCAAATTCCAAATATACAGGAGTCAAGGTCGTGGGTCGGGATCGAACCCACGCACCCCTTTACAGCAGGCGAGGTAGTTAACATCACGCCATCGCGGCGCCCCAATTGCTCTGATCTGCGTTCACGCTCGAAGCGGTTGCGAGCAACACCACTGATGTTGCTTGCAGTGAGCACAGGAGCACGAGAGAAGCGCCAGACGTACGGGAGAAGATGCGCTAACCACTGCGCCACCGCTCCCTAAACTTTTCAACACCAGTCACAGGACAGACCCAGGTGTCATGGGCTGACTGACTGAGATGACTGCAGATGCACCACCTGTGTGCCCCACTGTCAACTTTCTCTGTTTTAGTCGCCCGGTGCTCCACTCGTTGTTTGTGAGCGTCGCTCCTCTGCACTCCGTTGTTGCTGGAGGCCGACTGCCTCCAACTGCCCAGTAGCAGCGTCCTTCACAAGCCTCCTCCATAGATGTTGATCTTGACACTGGTCATCGGCAATTCTAATCAACGCCTCTTTCCCGCACTGCGCACATCTCTCAGTCACAGTTTTGGTAAGCCCACAAGCTAACTCGAGCCAGAATGAGTAAAAAACAAACATCGCTGGAGAGCTTCTTTGAAAAGGGTGAAAGACCCAATGATGAACCCCCCCCCCCCCCCCGTCCGTGAAAAAATTGTCTTCCACGAAACCGGTGCCAAAAAGGTTGGGGGCCGCTGCTGTACCTACCAAATTGCTTAGGCATGCGGTGGCTGGGCATGCGGGCTATATGACCCAGCCAACACAGATTTGCCTGTCAAAAAGCTCACTGATGGGACTGCGTCCAGATCTTTCAAGGATCTGTAAGCTCCCAAATCCAGTCTGGTTTAATCCCAGGATGATTCGTAGGCAAGCTAGCTTTAATCTTTAAAGCCGATGCAGATGTCCCGCTAAAATGGATCCGCGTTTCGCAAGAATAGAGCAGAGAGGGCATAACTGTGGCGGAGAGGACCCGTAACATTGTATGAAGATTTAACCCAGGCAGCTTTCACACATCGTTACGTAGAAGGTGAAAACATAATACCGCTCGACTGAGATCTCTCGCTGACAAACAAACTGGAGCCGGTTATAAGCAACACTGCCAAGCTATAGGAACGCTTGCATCCATCCACTCTCTCCAAAACTGCCCCGTGTAGTCATGGGCCAGTTGAGGGTCGGGGGTGTTAGATTGCACGACATACCCACACAAGCAGACTGGCACACACTCACACCGCGCGTCCACGAACGCTCAACAGCCCCACTCTCAACCGGGAACACCCAGCACCAAATCGTCAGCAGAGTCGGGTTTTCTGAGTGGCTGCATTAAGCCCAGTGCAGCTTGTTGGGTCCCAGCAGACACTGGGGGAGGGGGCTAACTGAGGTCATTGTTAGTTTACGCTCAAGGCAGGAGTCCCCTCGGTGCGTCTCGCGTAACCAGCTCACAGCTGGCCCCTCGTCGCAGCTCCTCGTGCCAGGGCAGCACACGGTGCCTCTTAAGGTGGTGGCACTTTCGTGGTGCCCGGGTTTGTTTGCGCGGCTCTTATGAGAGAGAGAGAAACTCCTCTCGTTCCAAGCGCTCTGCCGTACACTTCACTCGGATTGGCCGCGTGAAGATTAAAGCACCGCGGCTAATGCGATGCCACTCACAGGCGGTACAGCGACCCGATCGAACCGAATTAAATCGAATCAATGATCGATTCATTTGAATCTCATTCTCTCGCGCCCTCTCGCAGTGGGTTATTATTTTGTTCGATAAATATAAACCAGCAGTAGAGAACCTCTCTCCACATCCCCACTCCTTCACATCCCCCGCTCCCCCATCTCCTTCTGCCCGCTCCCTGCCCGCCCCCCGTGTTTGCTCTCAGGGGGGAGCAAGGGGGTGAGTGGAGTCCATTAACCACCTCCTGTGCGGAGTGATGATGGGGAAGGCGATGCCGCAGCTCCCGCCCACCACTCACCCCTCCCCCACCAACTCCCCGTCCGTGTTTGTCTCCCCAGATCGCGGCGCGGTTTGCGCGGCGTGACTCAACAGGTCGCTACGCGGTGTAGGTTAGCAGCGCGTGTGTGGTGATTACACACACGCGGTTTGTGTGTGTGATTGCACACGTGTGTAAATATGCGGGTTGATTGGCGGAGAGTGGTGGTGATAATGTAGGGGGTGGGTGGTGGTGGGGGGGGTGACGTGGCGGGGGGGGGGTGGTGACGTGGCGGGGGGGGGTTGCTGAGGGGGCGGGGGCTGTGAATGATGATGATGTTGTTGGGGTTGTGATGCTTAATTATGAACATGGGGAAAACGAGGATGATTGTTGAATGATGGTGGTGATGATGGCCAGGATTGATGATCGTGATGGTGACTCATCATGATCATCAATTCAATTATTCCACCGGAGTAACCCCCCCCTCCCCCGTTGAGATCGCACACGACCTGGTTGACAGCGAGTGTGATTGAAGCAAACACGCACTGACACAAACACACGTGCACAGCGACGGTACGATGATGCCGATTATCACTACAAAGGTGGAAATGGTCATTAGTATAATAAAAAGCAACAGGTTGCAATGCTATGTGTAATGTTGTAAGCCATTCTACGTCTTCCACGGTGATAGCTGAGTGGAGTAGTCCCCTCCTTTCAGCGGAGAACGCTTGGTTGTATCGGGGTAGCTGAGCGGATATTCGCCAAGTGGTTTGCGCCTCCCCACATTCCCGACTTGTTTTTGCGAGTCCGTCAGGCTGCTGGTTGAATGGCAACGAGCAAGATGATAATGTCCATGATGACGAGTCCCCTACTAACCTCGCCCTCCCCTGTCCAGGTGAGAAGCCCTACCGCTGCACGTGGGAGGGCTGCGACTGGCGGTTCGCGCGCTCGGACGAGCTCACGCGGCACTACCGCAAGCACACGGGTGCCAAGCCCTTCCAGTGCCACGTGTGTAGCCGCTCCTTCTCCCGCTCGGACCACCTCGCCCTGCACATGAAGAGACACCAAAACTAGGAGACCCTCTTCTACTCCACCACCACTATTCCTCTCGGCATCATCATCGGTATCATTAGCAGCAGCATCGTCGTCACCTCTCCCTTCACCGTGATGGTGGTCGTGGTGGTGCCACTGATGGTGATGATGTCTCGGCTGTCAACTCTACAAACTTTTTCCACCGCGAACTCGCCCCCCCCCCCTACCCCCGCCGTCCTGCAAAATGAAAATCGCATCACCAACATCACCAACAGCACCAACAGCACCAACAGCACCAACAGCACCAACGGCAGCACAACAACGGCAGCTGAATACATTTGCCACTCAATTGTGGCCGCCGCGCGCTTGTGCCGAAGCAGGCGCACCATTACCGCGGGGACGACAGCGACTACAGGGACAGCGGCCGACGTGAGCCCCTGATGGGCAGTGACTCCACCGCGGAGCCTGTGCCAAGCTAGGGGCACCTTGCGGGTTGGTTGCATGGTCGTTGCTTTTGGAAGGTCGGTGGGTAGGCAGAAGTAGCACGAGGTGGTGGTCACGGGTCAACGGGCGCCGTTCATCGATCGATCACAACAACGATAACAATGACCCCACACACGCAACTATAAACAACCATGCCAGCAGACGCGCCGGTGAACATGTAAACAATAAACACACAAACACCGAAACAGTGCGGCGAGGTGGAGATTTGATTTTGGATCAACCCAATAGGGCATCGCCTCTCCATCGCGTCCTTCCTTCTGCCAGATTTCACAGTTGTATATATATTTTTTCAACCTTTGAGGAGGTCACAATTATCACCGCTGGATGGTCGCTCCTACAGGGCACCCGGGTGGTGGTGGTAGTGGTGGAGAGGAGAGGCCGAGTACCCTGCCGGCTCTGTTCGGAACGCGCCGTGGCCTGGAAAGGGCCCATAGTGGGGGTAGTGAGTACGGGTGCTTCGACGTTTTTGTTGCCAAACAAATAGAAACAGGACATCACGCAGAGTCTGCACGACCCTCCGTCTACACAGTCAGACGGACGCTTTCCAACAGGCGTAAGACAAATATAAATATCGATTCTGACCATTTCAGCCATAACCCTGCACGCCATCTCCAGGTGCGTGTCTCGCCGTGGGATTTTGCTCGTGCGTGGACGCCACGTGGTGGTCACGAACGAGAGTCGCGGCGTGGTGGTTGCGGTGGTCACGGGAAACACACTCAGGGGGAGAGGAGAGAACTGTGCCGCGTCTCGAGTCGCCCAGAGAATCCGACTGTCGGGTTCGGTGAAGGCGCTCCCGTGGGACGCCTCGCAACCCCTCGCGGACGCACGCACCTATAGAACAAAGACACAGATCCCCCGGGCAGCCTTTAACAGACTGTCGGGGCAAGTGCTGTCATCGAACACTCATGAAGATGCTGCACGGCGCACGAGGGGCTATGGTGTGGTCCTAACCCACGTCCGGCCGCCTTTATCTCCCCAGTCCTGGACCGCTTCAGCTATTCGCCACCAGCTACACGCAATCACGCGCGCACGTTTTCTCTCGTATGCAAAGTCTATTTCGCTCTCACGCGTAAACACACTCACTCGTGCACGCTCTCTCGCACACACACACACAACATCAACAATCACAGAGATCCCGCGTATAACCTGTATCAGACTGTAGGGGGCAAGTGCTGTTAGCGAGCACCTATGAAGGCCGGCACGGCACACGAGGGGGTGGGTGGCCTGCACCACGCCCAGCCGCCTTTGTCTTCCTAGTGGCGATGTTTGCACACACATACATACACACTATGTCAGACATTATCGCAGTAAACACATACTGACACACACTCTCGCACCATCTAGTCACTGATATTTGACTCGTGAGCGTGAATCGAACTCGGGTCGCCGGGTTCATACCGCGAGTGCGTTAACCACTGCGCCCACCGCTCCACACACTCTCTCGCTCTCATTCGTAACACGCGTAGTGGATGTCGCGTGAGATTACGACTGCTTTGTTGAAGTCACTGTAGAACAGAACAGAAGAAGGTGAAACCGACTCTGTGTAAAAAAATAATAAATCCCAAAACAAAATCAGTGCCCAAAACGCCACTGTTGGGCTATCAATGACACTTAGTGCCATTCGCGCGTCGGTGTATATGTGTGTATGTGTGTGTGTTTTTTACTGCTAGATCATTTTTAAATGTATATAATTCTTACTAGTTGTTATTATTGTTGTTGTTTTGTTATATATTACCCCGCCCGCTCACTCCAAACAACAAGATCTGAGTTCACTTGAAGGCGCATTAAAATGCAGTTTCGTCCCAACGTCATCTTGCACCACCACCAACCACCACCCATCACCACCACCACCAACCACCACTACCAACCACCACTACCAACCACCACCAACCACCACCAACCACCACCATCAACCACCAACAACCACCACCAACCACCAACCACCACCAACCACCACCACCAACCACCACCACCAACCACCACCAACCACCAACCACCACCAGCCACTACCAACGCCGTCACCGCCGCAGCCGAAGCGTCACTGTCGCCAGATATATATTTTTTGGGGGGGGATACAAAAGTCCAGATGTTGACTTTGTTGTTGTTGTTTGTCGTTCTTGTGTCCCATGTCCATCAACGGAAAAATGTAAATACATCGGCCATTTTCATCAAAATATTATCCAGTCCGTCTCTTGAGATTCCCCGCTCTTCATTCATTCAGCCGAATTCTCTCCTCGCAAAGCTTATGGGGAATTGTTGGTTGGAGAGCGAGCGGGAGGCGTGGGACGGGTAAATCTTGGGGAGAAATCAGCCAAACCCCCCCACGCCCCTCCAAACCTATAGCGCGTCCCACGTAAACCCTCTCCTCGAACCAACCTGGCAGCACAACAAGACAGACAGACGAGATGGCAGCCACAATCTCGAGCAGAGATAAACAAGCCAAGAGGGTGGCGAGCCAGCAGCAGCTCGACACGCTGGAGCCGCGCTATGCAACTCAGCGCAACCGCTGGGGGTTTTTCGAATGGCGGTGAAGGTTCGTGTGTGCGTGACTGTGTGTGTGTGACTCTGTGTGTGTGTGTGCGTGACTCTGTGTGTGTGTCTGTGTGTGTATGCGCGCGTGGTAGTGCAACCAGTTCGCGCGCTGTGCTATGAACCCGACCGGGTTCGATTCCCGCTCACGGCCAACACCAGTGCCGATTATTTGAAGCAATCCTGGGCCTCCCCTAGGTCGACTCAGCCTCGAATGGGTACCTGGTGCAGTGTGTAAACATCGCTACTAGGGAAACAAAGGCGGCCGGGCGTGGTGCTGGCCACCCACCCCTTCGTGTGCCATGCGGGTCTTCATAGGTTCTCGCTAACAGCACTTGCCCCAACAGTCTGTTAAGGTTATACGGGGGATCTTTGTCTTTGTGTATATATGCGTGCGTGTGAATGTTCTGACGGTTTGCGTAAGATGCTACTTCATGTATATACGGTTATTTGTTATAAGGCACTGGCGTTGTCACACATTTTATTTGATCTTATCATGGGTGTTTACGGATTTATAGAGTATTTTTTCTAAATATACTTGTTGTTGTTGCATGGTTAATTAAATCAGTCTCAAAGGTTCTCACTTGATGATTTTTTTGTGTGCGTGAAATGTCATTTTATCTGCCATCAACTAATGCCCGTGATGATGGGTGTCAAAGCTGTTGTTGTGTAACTGTGAGCGAGTATGCCCGGTACTCGCGTCCGCACCCCCGATAGATGCTGTATATGCTACTTAATAAACCCCTAGTGGCCCCATAAGAGGCAATTAATTAATACAAATTCTTAAATAAAGTAAGGGGTACAGGGTTAGGGGTGGAGCGAGATAGCCAACCAGACACTCTACCCCTACCTATCGCGAACCTTAACCACGCTTACACTATATTCTTGGTTCTTTCGGTAAAGTCACGTAGAAGGGAAACAATAAAATAATAAAAATATAAAACAATAAAATTCTCACGACGTTTCGACTGCAACACAAGCAATCATCATCAGGTGTGAAAACCACAACAAGAAAATTTGAAAAAAAAGTGGCGTGTTGTGGTTTTCACACCTGATGATTGCTTGTGTTGCAGTCGAAACGTCGTGAGAATTTTATTGGTTTATATTTGTATTATTGTATTGTTTCCCTTCTACGTGACTTTACAGAAAGAACCAATAATCTGAATCCCTGCAGTCACGAAAGCTTTAAATCACACTTACACTATACAGCTAGACCCTATCCTTAACCCTGACACTCAGCCCTATCCTTAACCATAACCATCTGATTGATTATATACTGATCCAGCATCGCAATATAAGGAGGAGCGGTGGCACAGTGGTTGGCGCACTGCGCTCGAACCCCGGTGTCCCTGACGTCAGTGGCCGAGTGGTCTCCGAAGCGAGGAGCCGTCGACACCGAGCAGCAATGACGTCAGGTGAAGCAAACCGCCCACGGTGGTGGCCACGGCAGAGGATGCGAGGTCTTCATCCAGCAGCGGATTTCACCGACCGGTTTAATATTAATATGGCCGTACGTCATTATGGTCGATGGTAAGGATGCCCCCCCCCTCCCCCGATAGACCCCCACCTGGAGCTCCAACGGGCAACCCAGAACCAAGTTGCTGCTGCTGCTGCTGCTGGCGGGACGGCGTCGCTCGGCTCGCCTGGGAACGCCTGGGACTTCCCAGGAGGAGCTCGAGTCTGTTCATAGTAGTTTATAGTCGTGTGTAGTAGTGTATAGTAGTGTATAGTGTAGTGTATAGTAGTGTATAGTGTAGTGTGTAGTAGTGTATAGTAGTGTATAGTGTAGTGTATAGTGTAGTAGTGTAGTGTATAGTGTAATGTATAGTAGTGTATAGTAGTGTATAGTAGTGTATAGTGAAGTGTATAGTAATGTTTAGTAGTGTATAGTGTAGTGTAGAGTAGTGTGTAGTGTAGAGTGTAGTGTATAGCAGTGTGTAGTGTAGTGTATAGTGTAGTGTATAGTTAGTGTATAGTAGTGTGTAGTGTATAGTAGTGTATAGTGTAGTGTATAGTAATGCATGGTAGTGTATAGTGTAGTGAATTGTAGTGTATAGTAGTGTGTAGTGTATAGTGTAGTAAATAGTAGTGTATAGTGTAGTGTATAGTAGTGTGTAGTGTAGTATATAGTAACGTATAATAGTGTATAAAGTAGTGTGTAGTGTATGGTGTAGTGTAGAGTAATGTTTAGTAGTGTAGAGTGTTGTGTATAGTAATGCATGGTAGTGTATAGTGTAGTGAATAGTAGTGTATAGTGTAGTGTATAGTAGTGTGTAGTGTAGTGTATAGTAACGTATAGTAGTGTATAAAGTAGTGTGTAGTGTATGGTGTAGTGTAGAGTAATGTATAGTAGTGTAGAGTGTAGTGTATAGTAATGCATAGTAGTGTATAGTGTCGTGAATAGACATGTGTATAGTGTAGTGTATAGTAGTGTGTAGTGTAGAATGTAGTGTAAAGTAGTGTGCAGTGTAGTGTATAGTGTAGTGTATAGTAGTGTGTAGTGTAGTGAATAGCAGTGTATAGTGTAGTGTATAGTAATGCATGGTAGTGTATAGTGTAGTGAATAGTAGTGTATAGTGTAGTATAGTAGTGTGTAGTGTATAGTGTAGTGTATAGTGTAGTGTATAGTAATGCATGGTAGTGCATAGTGTAGTGAATAGTAGTGTATAGTGTAGTGTATAGTAGTGTTAAGTGTATAGTGTAGTGTATAGTAGTGTGTAGTGTATAGTGTAGTCGTGCTGGAGTCCAGGGAGGTGTGGACCGCCACTCCTCAGCGCGCTGCCGCCACGACCCTCACCAGGACAGCGGACTGAGAAGCGACCGAGCGAACGAGCGAACGAAGCGTGGTCGACTCATCACAATGCAGAGAGATGCCTCTGTGCCAGTGGCTCGAGGAGGGAGAGAGGAATTGCGTGGGATGGAGTGCGCGGGTGACATTTTACGGCGATTTATGATTTACAACAGCCACGATGATGCCGTTCGCCCGAATCCCAGATATGGTTGTCACGGTGATGCAATGATTGCTACGCTATAAGCAAGGCCGACGGCTCGGTCATTGCATATAGCTGTTGCCCAACAGGGTACGTGTGTGTGTATGTGTGTGTGTGTGACCTCCTGCCCGCGGGCGTTCGACACATCACGTGGCCTCAAGGTGCACATGGCCTGGCACAAGCGTCGTGGTGACGTCACCGCCACTTAGTGGCGAATGGCGGTTGTTGTTGTGTGTATGAGTGTGTGTATGTGTGTGTGTATGAGTGTGTGTATGTGTGTGTATGAGTCTGTTAAGGCTATATGGGGGATCTTTATCTTTGTGTATGAGTGTGGGGCGAGGTAGTGTAGCGGTTAGCGCGCTGCGCTACGAACCTGGCGACCCGACTTCGAATCGCGCTCACGGTCCCCACCACGGACAACATATCTTGAACCGGTCCTGGGCCCTCCGCTAGATCGACTCGGCGTGAATAAAGTTCCTGCCAGGTGGGGTGTGTACAACATCAGCACTAGGGGGGAGACAAAGGTGGCCGGTCGGGTCTGGTGTTACGTGTGTGTTACGTGTGTGTTACATGTGTGTTACGTGTGTGTTACGTGTGTGTTACATGTGTGTTACGTGTGTGTTACATGTGTGTTACATGTGTATACCGCGAGTGCCTTGGTGACTGGCGCAGGCTCTCTGCAGCGCCACGACGCTCGCGTGATCATATATCCGTGCAAAGAGAGATAAATAAATACAAGTACACTTTATTTTGGAGAGCAAACAAACACGTGCTGTAATCACGAAAGAAATCAAATACCTTCGCGTGAATGGAACACGCGGATTCAATAGAAGGAAGGTGGATAATCAAAACGGACACAAAACAAACTTTGGGCGGAGGGCGAGGGGTAACCTTTATTATTTTTGCCAGCTGCTTTTATGTCGATGACAGCTCTGGCATTTGTTGTGCCGTGCATCACGGCGGAGAGAGTGACAGGAACAGAGAGAGCCGAGCAAATGCGATACAAATCACAATACCCCCCCCTCTCTCTCCAGCCCCCCCTCTTTCCTCGAACGAATTGCAAAGTTCGGGGCGAGTAAAGAAGACGCGGGGTAAATGTTTACCTGAGCACGCGGTTGTATTTGTCATTCTCAGCTTTCCAACCAATACCATCAGCCCCACCCCCCATCAATCCGCGGGGGACTTTTGTTCGCTGGCGTACCTCGTGCCTCCGTACAGGCGGCTCCCACAGGTATTTTGACGAGGAAAGGGCGGCGGAAGGGGGGGGGGGTAAGGGAGGTTTTGGGCTCTGGATGTGGGGGGGGGATGGAGGAGCGAGTTAGAGAGTTCAGTGAGTTTGACATTCTGGCACGGCGCCACCGCCAGGTGGAGGAGGAGGAGGTGTCACGCACGCTCCCTTATCCACACCCACCCGGCATCACACACAGACAAGGACCCCCGTATCGCCTTCAACAGACTGTTGATGCAAGTGCTGTTAGCGAACACCTATGAAGGTCAACACGGCCGCCTTTGTCTTCCCAGTCGCGATGTTTATACATCGCTCCGGGTACAGTACACATTTGAGGTGGTCGGGTTCGTAGCATATCACGATTGCCTCCGTACGGTGCGAAAGAAGTTCAACATGCATCCATAACTGCTGCATCACCGCTCCCCTGGCATTGATACGCACCCACAACAGCCGCCATTCGACTCTAAGTGATGGGGACGTTTCCACGGCGCTTGCGTGCCAGGCTCGGAGGGCATCACGTGAAGTGCGAAAGGCCCCCTGGTAGGAGGACACGGGACACACCCAGGTGCCATGGGTCGACCGACCGAGATGGCCGGCAGATGCACCACATCTGCTGCCCACTGTGCCACCTTGCTGCGCTTTATCCGCCCGGCACTCTTCCGCCCGTTGTTGTGAGCGTCGCTCAAACGCCCTCCGTTGGCGATGGACGGCGACTGCCTGCAATTGCCCAGTAGCCTCACACTGCGCCTAGCCAGACACTGCCCAGTAGCGTCCTTCGAGAGCCTCCACCTTCGATAGAGGCCAACCCTGACCCCGCGAGTGTACACGACGCGAGTTAAAGGATCGAGTGACAAGACCAGGCCAGGCTGCGAGATGACCAGGAGATGGCAGTCCAGCAAGTTTATGTTTGTTAAGTTTCTGAGCGAGCTGTAGGTTCGTGAGACCTGTCTGGGCGCACCCATCCTATGGGTGGTGGAGGCAGCGAGAGTTGGTGCATCAACACACACACACGTTGTGAAACTCCCATTCCGTGTGTGTCGAGAAGGAGCCCGTCACTTTCATATGGAGAGGACCGCAGAGCTTGGGCTAATCGTTTGCGGCGACTTTTCTCGTGGCTGCTGCCTTCCGACTCGTCTGTGGTTCCTCCTCACGCCTCTGAGTCAATCTCCTCTCCCTACGAGAGCGAGCGAATGTTATATTGAATGAAGGCCTCCTCATGTGGTCACGGGCAGTTGCTTTGACCATACTTGACCATGCTGCTCGCTGTGGGTTGGTGGAGGGAGCAGGGGGCGGGGAGATGTTGGGTTAATCCTCGATTTATGTATCACTCTCTACTAATTTTAGCCGTGGTGGGAAATCGAATTCAGATCCCCAGGATTCATCAGGGGGTCGTGAGGGGTGGGGGGTCGTGCGGGTTGGGGGCTAGTTCGCTAACCATTGCGCCACCGCTCCGCGCACGTGTGTCACACGGGATATGGTCAATGACGCCACGGCGGGGAAGATGACTACGCGTGCTGACGTCAGCAGCTCCCAAATTACAGGGGACGTGGGAGGGAGAGTTAGAGAGAGAGAGAGCGCTCGCAGAGAGAGAGAGCGCGCGCGTGGGCGTGTGGAGCGCGGGACCGCCCTGAGCGACTCGCTGCGGCGCATAGAGACCCAACAACAAAGGTAAACAGAGTGGGGGAGGTGGCGGCTGGCACGCAGGTAACCTGGCACAGTCTCCGGATCACACGCGGCGCACGTGGGACGTACAGTCGGAACGCTCTGCTCACATTCACACTCTCGACACGATCGCCTCGCGCAGCGTCCTTCACTGCAAGGCCCGCAGTGGCCACTGGCGGCCCCTGGTGGCCTTTAGTGCGGGCCCCGACAAACACAGAGTGACAACACTCCCCCTTGTCGGCGGTGTGGGGGCCCTCGCGCTGCTGATGTCTTTTCGATGAAAGTGCCCCCCCCCCACCCCCCTCTGTAAATGAGTGAAGCAAAGCAAGGCCGTAATTATAATATATTGGGGGGGACGACGACATATCCCCCCCCCAATATTAAAATATGCTCAAAATGTCCCCCCCCAATTTATTTCTATAAAAGAGATTTCTGTTCATATGTTTGTGGTTATGGTTGTACTTTATTAATCCCTAATCTCTGCCATTACATACAATGAAACAGAGCAATGTAATACAATACACTATTAGACATTATTGTAAAAAATAAATAAAAGTCCATCCTATGTGTTAGTGAATTTTTAAACATTCTAGGCAGGAAATTCGTTTTAAAAAAAAATTCTGGTGGAGTACCCCCAGACCCCCTGAAAGATTTGATCCTCCCCAATATTGACTCCATGGCTACGGCCTTGGATTGAAGAACACCGCTCGAGAACAGTGGCTCACAGGCGCCCCGGGTATGTGAAACATGACATAAACAAACCCTGCAGGGTAAACGCACAACTGGGGGGGGGGGGGGCAGTTAAATACCAGTTCAAAAAGGTGAATTTTTAAGAGAGACTTAAATATAGCGAACGAAAAGAATTGTCCAATTAGCAAAAGCAAGAAGCTTTCCCAAGCTTGGGAGCTGCACTGGACGAAGGGCCGATCGCCCTAGGAAAATGAGCCTTGATCCCGGAGTCCCAAGAAGAAGGCGATGCGAATGGCAGCCAAAGTAAAAGGAGCAGGCGCACAGAACAAAGAGGGCCGAAACCACCCGCGGAGATGGAGCAGGCGGCGCGCGCTGGAGGTGGATTTGCGGGGAGGAGGAGGAGGAGTGGGCAGGGGGGGAGTTTTGCGGAAGGAACTTCGGCGATAGAAGTTGCCGGACGAGTCGAGACACGACGCAAAGCACCAACTTGCGCCGAGAAGCGGATTGCGATATAATCATTTCGCAGAATCGATTGTGAAAGAGAAATAAGAATTCTAATAAATTAAATGTCAACACCCCCACAGCTGCAGTGAGCTGGAGGAATGTGGTGGGTCACCTGGTGTCAAGACTCTGTAAGTTTAAACGGGACCAGCTCGAGCGATGCAAACTCAGCTCATTCACTACCGGAACTCACTAACCGGGATTACGACCGCGATTATATTAGCGAGTGCTTCTCAGTCGCGGCGTGACGATGGTTTGGGGGTTTAGGGGGGGGTGCTCATGATTGCGGGGGGGGGGGGGGTAGCTCTTTCGAACAGGCCTGGAATTATCTCCAACTGAATAGGCGTTATCCTTTCCGGCAATACTACAGGAGGTGGAAAGATGTTCAACACCAATAGACACCTTTTGCAAGGAATCGAGTCTGCCTAAATAAGGATTTCCAAAGCCGCAAAAACAAAATGTCCCACAGATATCTCTCTAGAGCCACTCCACACCCGCGTTGGCGTCCTTACCCCGCACCTCCGATAAGCGCGATTGGATGCGCAGGGTGCGAAAGAAGTTCAACGTGCGTACTATCCTTCTGTTCACGTCCAGGATTAAGACCATCGTGTGTCTTGGCCTCTTACCGGCTAACTTATCTTTGGGCGAGGTCTTCATTCGCATTTTGGGAATGTACATCCATTATCATAATCGACATTTCAACTCGTAACACGGCGCTAACCGCCGGTACACAATGCTCGCTCTCGTAGAGACAGAGAGAGGACGACTCAGAGGCGCCATGAGGAGGAGGAACCACAGACGAGGAGCAGGAAGGCAGCGGCCACACGGCGAGGAGCCGACACCAAATCCACTCCCCAGCTCGACGGTCCTCTACATATGAAGGTGTTACCGGCCAACGAATGAGTGGTTTACACGTGGGAGGAAACCCGAGTAGCCGGTGAACACTGACGCGTGTGAGGGGGCAATCCTCTATCACCGTACAGATGGGACAGGTGGAGTCCACACTTTGCTGTACAGCCTCCTTATGCGAGCACCTTCTCGACCCCCACGGAACGAAAGTTGGAACAGATGGAGAGATTAGTCCGCACTATGCCTTACCTCCTCCAGGCGAGCCATGGTCCGGCTCCTCCTCGACCCTCACGGGAAGAGAGTTTCACAACAACATCTGCGCGATGATCCTCCAACCATCGCTGCTGTCTCCGCAGGGCTGGGGTTACAGGTCACGCACATAGCCAGCGCAGCCACCAACCTCGCGGCCACCCATCAATCAGTCAGCTCGGTGCGCACGTGACTCCACTTTGTATGTTTAAGGTCTCAAGATTGCAGTCGCATTCAGAATTGTAAAGCAAATCCGAGTTGTATTGTTGGGTCCGATTTCATGGTCGATAAGAACTCACAACGGACTCGTCGTAATGAAATAAATAAAAAATAAAGTATAAACATTCTACAGTGCTCGTGTCTCTGACGCAACACGTGCCAACACGCCTCGTGAAGGCCACCGGTCCGTTTGTTGGCCTACCACATTCACTGCACGCAGCAGGAACATCTCTAACCAGCCCTTCGACAACGAATCTTGGACTGTTTTTAATTTTTGGCGATTTTTTTAAATCACTAAAACCTTGGGGCAAGGAGCGAACCGTAGGGCAGGCTTCGCCCGGGGATGGCGTGGGTTGGTGGGGGTGCCCAGGGCGTAGCCCGTGGAAGGCAGCCGAGCAGGACCCCATTCGCCGTGCGGGGACTGGGTGTATGTGTGTCACCGCGACCCCTGAGCGCCTCTGGAAGGCCACTACACACTCTTCGCCCGCCTCAAACGCGCGAGATCGCTCATCCGACTCGTGCTATTGTATTCATGCTTATGGGAATGTACTTTTGTACTTATTGAAACTCAACGAAACTTTGTTTTATTTTGCCAGGTAAAACCCCACTGAGTAAATGTAGCTCTTGTTCAGAAGCGATCTGGCTACAAATGATAGCTCAACGAAGTGGCTTATCACGTGGAAATGTATACCCAAATACTCTGAACGCACGTCGATTCTAAATGTGTAAGGAAAACCGGAGACCACGGAGAAAAATCGACGCGACCACGGAGAGAAACACGCATACTCCAACTATACAGCAGGCGTCAGGCTTGGGATATAAGCCACGACCTCCTGCATACCAGGCGAGGTAGTTAACATATCGCCACCGTGGAGAGTCGTACTGCATTGAAGGACTCTACGTACGGTGCGAGAGAAGTTCAACATGCATATATAAGCATAGATTATATAAAAAAAATTGAGATAATTCTTGATGGAGCTTTTACATTTTATTTACAAGTGGGGACGAAACCGGAGCGGCCGGAAAAATCCCCACGCCTTGCGAGTGTGGACTCCACTCCATCCCGATGGAAACACGTGGCGACTAGTCTGTACTGCCTTCTTCGGGCGAGCCAGGGTATGGCACGCAGATCCCCGAAACGGTGCTCTCACCCACGTCGACGAGCGCGCGTGTGTGTGTGTGTCTCGTGCTGACATCTGTGAAAAAGATATTCAGAGCTCATCGGATTCCTACTGCAGTCGAAATAAATACAGATTCCGATTCTGTGGGATGGGGGCTGGGACATTTAAGAAACGTTGCCCATTGTTCAAACTGCCGCGCCTGGAGATCGCTGCATGGAACTTTGTTGTCATGATCCTGGCATTAACCACTCACTTCTCCATAGCAGCGGTAGTCAACACGTGGGCGGCCACCCACGGGTGGAGGATGGTAAACCACTGCGACTAACAATTCGTGCGCTTAATAAAATAACAGCATATGCCAATAGACGGCGTTGGGACGTGTAATTATATTTATAATTATATTTATAATTACATGACGGCCGTGTGCAGAACACTGATTGAGGGGTTAGCTCGACGGTGGACAGCTGAGCTTGGTGAGTGCTTGGTGGACCGCCATCGCTGAGCTAAGTCCACATTGTCGAGTGCTGTGTGTGTGGATGATTGTTGAACTTCTTTCGCACCGTACGTAGCCAACCGTGCTCATCGGAGGTGCGGGCAGAAGGACAACAAGGCAGACACAAAATGCTGATCCAAAGAAATGAGTTCACAATCTAGATAACTAAAAAGTTCATCATCGTACTGATGGGAAAGGGGGGCAAAGGTTAAAGAATTGGGGGGGGGGGGTGCAGAAAAATGATAGGGGGCAGAGCGTAGGCAGCGGTGATGATTCTCATGGGGGTAGGGGGGGGCTAATTACAAACTACATTGGGCCCCCCATTTCAATTGCATACAAATCCTCGCGAGATGATGACAGAAGAGATATAGAGAGGAGATAGCGATGCAGTGAGATAAGAGGGGTGTAGTCAAAATAGGGGTGTAGAGAGATGGGGGCTAGATGTTGTTGTTGTTATTGTCATTGTTTACCCAGGAAATTGGCTCGCGGAGTCTGAAGGCGTTTTCTCAAAAGGGTCTCCTGCTGCGAAAGAGTCAGTATGTCTCATCAGAGTGTCTCTAGAGAGTCCTCCTGCTGCTATAGTCAGTATGGCTCATCACAGTGTCTCTTGAGAGTCCTGCTGCTGCTGCTAAACAGTCAGTATGTCTCATCACAGTGTCTCTAGAGAGTCCTGCTGCTGCTAAACAGTCAGTATGTCTCATCAGAGTGTCTCTAGAGAGTCCTCCTGCTGCTAAACAGTCAGTATGTCTCATCAGAGTATCTCTAGACAGTCCTCCTGCTGCTATACAGTCAGTATGTCTCATCAGTGTCTCTAGAGAGTCCTCCTGCTGCTATAGAGTCAGTATGTCTCATCAGAGTGTCTCTAAACAGTCCTACTGCTGCTAAACAGTCAGTATGTCTCATCAGAGTGTCTCTAGGAAGTCCTGCTGCTGCTATACAGTCAGTGTGTCTCATCAGAGTGTCTCTAGACAGTCCTGCTGCTATAGAGTCAGTATGTCTCATCAGAGTGTCTCTCAAGAGACCTCCTGCTGCTATAGAGTCAGTATGTCTCATCAGAGGGTCTCTAGAGAGTCCTGCTCCTGCTATACAGTCAGTATGTCTCATCAGAGTGTCTCTAGACAGTCCTGCTGCTATAGAGTCAGTAGGTCTCATCAGAGTGTCTCTAGACAGTCCTCCTGCTGCTATAGAGTCAGTATGTCTCATCAGAGTGTCTCTAGAGAGTCCTGCTGCTATAGAATCAGTATGTCTCATCAGAGTGTCTCTAGACAGTCCTGCTGCTATAGAGTCAGTATGTCTCATCAGTGTCTCTAGACAGTCCTGCTGCTATACAGTCAGTATGTCTCATCAGAGTGTCTCTAGAGAGTCCTGCTGCTGCTATACAGTCAGAATGTATCATCAGAGTGTCTCTAGAGAGTCCTGCTGCTAAAGAGTCAGTACGTCTCATCAGAGTGTCTCTAGAGAGTCCTGCTGCTGTTATACAGTCAGTATGTATCATCAGAGTGTCTCTAGAGAGTCCTCCTTCTGCTAAACAGTCAGTATGTCTCATCAGTGTCTATAGAAAGTCCTGCTGCTGCTATAGAGTCAGTATGTCACATCAGTGTCTCTAGAGAGTCTTGCTGCTGCTATAGAGTCAGTATGTCTCATCAGAATGTCTCTAGACAGTCCTGCTGCTATACAGTCAGTATGTCTCATCAGTGTCTCTAGACAGTCCTACTGCTATACAGTCAGTATGTCTCATCAGAGTGTCTCTAGAGAGTCCTCCTCCTGCTATACAGTCAGCATGTCTCAGCAGAGTGTCTCTAGAGAGTCCTCCTCCTGCTATAGAGTCAGTATGTCTCATCAGAATGTCTCTAGACAGTCCTGCTGCTATAGAGTCAGTATGTCTCATTAGTGTCTCTAGAGAGTCCTGCTGCTGCTATAGAGTCAGTATGTCTCATCAGTGTCTCTAGAGAGTCCTGCTGCTGCTATAGAGTCAGTATGTCTCATCAGAATGTCTCTAGAGAGTCCTGCTGCAAAACAGTCAGTATGTCTCATCAGAGTGTCTCTAGAGAGTCCTCCTGCTGCTATACAGTCAGTATGTCTCATCAGAGTGTCTCTAGAGAGTCCTCCTGCTGCTATACAGTCAGTATGTCTCATCAGAGTGTCTCTAGAGAGTCCTCCTGCTGCTATAGAGTCAGTATGTCTCATCAGAGTGTCTCTAGAGAGTCCTCCTGCTGCTATAGAGTCAGTATGTCTCATCAGAGTGTCTCTAGAGAGTCCTGCTGCTATACAGTCAGTATGTCTCATCACTGTCTCAAGACAGTTCTGCTGCTGCTATAGAGTCAGTATGTCTCATCAGAGTGTCTCTAGAGAGTCCCCCTGCTGCTATACAGTCAGTATTTCTCATCAGAGTGTCTCTAGAGAGTCCTCCTGCTGCTATACAGTCAGTATGTCTCATCAGAGTGTCTCTAGAGAGTCCTTCAGCTGCTATACAGTCAGTATGTCTCATCAGAGTGTCTCTAGACAGTCCTCCTGCTGCTATATAGTCAGTATGTCTCATCAGAGTGTCTCTAGAGAGTCCTCCTGTTGCTATAGTGTCAGTATGTCTCATCAGAGTGTATCTAGAGAGTCCTCCTGCTGCTATACAATCAGTATGTCTCATCAGAGTGTCTCTCAAAAGTCCCGCTGCTGCTATAGAGTCAGTATTTCTCATCAGTGTCTCTAGAGAGTCCTCCTGCTGCTATAGAGTCAGTATGTTTCATCAGAATGTCTCTCTAGAGAGTCCTGCTGCTACTATACATTCAGTATGTCTCATCAGAGTGTCTCTAGAGAGTCCTGTTGCTGCTAAACAGTCAGTATGTCTCATCAGAGTGTTTCTAGAGAGTCATGCTGCTGCTAAACAGTCAGTATGTCTCATCAGTGTCTCTAGAGAGTTCTCCAGCTGCTATAGAGTCAGTATGTCTCATCAGTGT